AGTCTGGGTATGAGTGAGTCTGTGTATGAGTACGTCTGGGTGTGAGTAAGTCTGTGTATGAGTAAGTCAATGTATGAGTATGTCTGAGCGTGAGTAAGTCTGAGTATGAGTAGGTCTGAGTATGAGTAAGTCTGAGTATGAGTAAGTCTGTGTATGAGTAAGTCTGAGTATGAGCAAGTCTGAGTATGAGGAAGGAGGAGGAGGGGAGGAGGAAAGAGGAGGAGGGAGAGGCAGTAGGAGGCGTCCAAGTAATAACAAGAACCCCATCTTAGGATATTGGGAAATAAAGTGGTCGGGGCGGAGGGGGCAGCGCGCTGGGCTGCTGAGGAGAGGAGAGGGGGGGGAGTGTGGGGGGGGGGGGGGCGACGACGACGCCGAAATAAAGTCGTCGGGGCGGAGGGGGCGGTGCGCTGGGGTGCTGGGGAGCGACACATAGCGACACATGTCGACACAACGCCGAAATAAAGTGGTCGGGGCGGAGGGGGCAGCGCGCTGGGCTGCTGAGGAGAGGGAGAGGGGGGGGGGGGGGCGACGACGACGCCGAAATAAAGTCGTCGGGGCGGAGGGGGCGGTGCGCTGGGGTGCTGGGGAGCGACACATAGCGACACTTGTCGACACATATCGACATATAGAGACATATATCGGCACACACGTATCGACGCATAGCGACACACAGCGACACATAGCGACGCACACATGGAGACGCATAGCGACACACAGCGACACATATAGCGGCACATGAAGGGCACAAGGCACACAGCGACACACATATAGCGACACATGAAGGGCACAAGGCAGCTGGGGGGGAGCGACGACGACGCCGAAATAATGTGGTCGGAGCTCTAGACACCCGTGCTAAACAGGGTGGCGATTCGAAAACGGCGAACTGCCTGGAGTTTCCTGCCAAAAACGGTTCGAACCTGGATCGAAAGTTTGTTCGGAACAATGATAGTCGGTTCGGAACAAAAGAAAAGTGAGCGTTTCGCGCGGGACTTCCTCGAAAGCAGGTTCGAGCCAGGTGTGAATTCGTTTCGAACCACTCGATCAGTTAGCGTTTCGTGCGGGACTTCTTCGACAGCAGGTTCGAGCCAGGGTCGAAGTCGTTTCGAACCACTCGAACAGTGAGCGTGTCGTGCAGGACTTCTTCTGGAACCAGGTTCGGACCAGGTTCGGGAGTAGGTGATGAGTGTATGTTGCTGCCCCTGTTGGAACCACATTGTGACGTTCATGCAGGATGGCCCTGTGTCCGTCTGCATGCACTGCATGCTGCGACATCCCATGGTATCGTGGCCAAACGCGCCGCAGTGGCAAAATTGGGTCAAACTTTCAGCACGCCCATGTATAACTATACATCGAGACACGTGGACAGAGAGAGAGAGAGACAGAGAGACAAAAAACAGAGGGAGGGCCGCTGAGCAGCTGTTGCAATCCCTATTGGACAGTATCGGGGCCCTTCGCGGGCCTTCGTGGTGCATTGTTGGGCTGCGTTGGGGTATATCTCCGGGTTCTTCTCGGGCTTCGAGGGGGCATCTTGGGCCGTTGGTGCCGTCTTTCGGGTTGACCCAACAGGGGGTTCAGCGGCAAGGGGGTGGCGCAATATATGTGGTGCAATAGATTTGTGTGATTGCAATACACATGGGGCGTGCAATACAGTCCGGGGCGCAGATGTATTGCTGGACCTTCGCGTGCAATACACTTAATTGCAATGCGGTGCAGTACAATGCTCTGGCGCAGTAGATTTGCAGTACAAGTGCCCCAAATCTACTGCACCACCCCCGTGAAGCTGGACCCCCCTTTGGGGGTCACTCAAAGTCTTGAGACGTTTTTTCTTGTTTGTTTATTTATTTATATATATATATATATATATATATTAGTATTGAGACGTTTGGGGGGCCCTCCAGGGGCCCTCTTGGCGCCCTGTGGCGGCAGTCTCGGGCCCTTCTGGAGGCCCGCGTTGGCCAACACGGGGCCTCGCCGTGGGCCGTCCTCGGAAGGTGCGAGGCCCAGTTGTGCGTCGTCGCGCGGGCCACTTCAGACCACAACTATTGACGATGACGGTGGCCATTCCCGATTGAAACCGAGCCAACGAGGAAGCTGAGGATGAGGATCAAACTCCAGTCCTTGCCAGAGACATATACGAGGAAAGAGCCGACGTAGATGATGGCGGTCAGCCTCTTTGCCACTTCAACTCTCCTGAAGCCACCTGGGGCTGACAGGCGTGGAAGGAAGCATCGACAACCTTGCTCCTGTGCTTCAGCACCGTCGTGACACAAGTTCCATCCATTAGTTTCCCATGGCCGATGCATCTACAATCCCCCCAAACATGACATACGGCTGGCGGCGTTTGGCGGAGTAGTTTTGGTCCCCGTATGGTTTTTGTCAAAGCATTGTCCATTTCAGCAGGAGCCGAAAACTAAGTCGCGCCAAACCGCACAATTCATCGCACGCGACGCGCCTCCACGCGGAGAACGTATTGCTCCACCTGCCCCGCCTGCTCCGCAGAATCGCAGCCACCGCGCACCAGGATTGCTGAAAGCTCTCGCCACATCAAGGCAGCCGTCCGCGGCGCGTCTCTGGAGGCCTCCCGCGTGCCCGTGCGAAAGCATGCTTGGGACCACTTCTGCTGCCTCGGGTATCGCTGGTCGTCCCCAGGCGGCCTCCTTGGGCCGTTTTCGGTAATATTTAGGTCGGGCCTGTCCCCATACAGAGGGACTTGGGACGCAAAATAACATACACGAAAAATATTCAAAAGATGCCCAGAAATATTCAAAAAATAGTCCCCTGACTATTTTTTACTATTTTTGAATATTCCCCCTGTAGAGGGACAGGCCCGACTTAAGGCAACATGTACGGGCTCCTGCAAAGCCTGACATCCCAGCGCAGTGACGCAGCTCGGCTAGTTTTGTCCGCCAGTTTCGGCCTCCAGGGGGGCCTTCGCTGGGGCTCGGGATTGCCCCCCCCCAAAAAAAAACAGCTCGGGATGAAGAGACGGCCCCTGGGAAGGGGGTCACGAGATTGAGGTCCGTCGGCGACCATAAAGGTCACGAGATTGAGGTCCGTCGGCGACCATAAAGGTCACGAGATTGGACCATAAAGGTCAGAGCAGCCACGTTTGGAGTAGGTCACGAGATTGAGGTCCGCCGGCGACCATAAGGGGCGTCGTTGCGCCGGGATGTGGTCTGCGATCAGCGTCGTGGGGGGCCATGGGAGGCACCACGTCGCCCTCGTCGGGCCTCCTCGGGGCGCGGCGGAGAACTCTGTCGAGCTCCTCGCCCGCCTCTCAGGGTGCGCGTTGCAAACAAGACCACTTGCACTATGTTATTCCCATCTGGCTTAAGGACCACATCCCAGAAATAATTTCGAGCACCCAGAAAGGTGTCAAAAGAGTGTCGGAATAGTGTCGAAGCAGTATCGGGAGAGTGTCTCCCAGGGCCCGACACGCGAAAACCTCGAGTTTTGGGGTACTTTGTCTGGCGCTCGAAATTCTTCCGGGTGATCAAGGCTTAAGAAGGTTGGAACATCATCACACTTACAAGCCACACCCTTCGGAGTCGCCGAGACTGGGCCCCTCCCAGCACCTCTGCCCGGACGCGCGGAGCACGCCAGGGGAGGCGTTTTTTTTTTAATGGGCGCCGCCCAGGGGTACGGGGGGGGGGGTACCCAGCGCCTGTCAAAGGCATCCGCTCTCCGGAGGTCGCCCCAATGTGTTTTGCGTCTGCGGTGGCCCCGGCGTAAGGACGGGTAGTTTCTCCCTCTTCCCCCTCTCCCTCCCCTCCCCTATCCCCCTTCTTCGCAGTGGCACGAAGCTTGCTCACCCGTCGCGCGCGCCGTTCACATCATGTACGCATGTCGCATTGCTTTCGTCCCAGATCGTGCCCCACCCGTTCACGAGCCAGCCTTTCCGGTCTGACTGAGCCTCTGCTGCTCATGGCCCCAAGCCCAGCTACCCGAAGTCTCGAGTTCTACGGGGTCCCTAGACTTCTGGGCCACCTCTCGGGGACCACTTTCTCAGAGCGTTCCGTAACGACCTGAGAAGGCCGCGGCGCCCGAGACATCCTCCAGGGCCGCTTGGATCTCAGAGATTCTCGATTGATCCTCGCCCGATGTTATCCTCGCCCTGGTTCCGTCTTACAGATGAGTCCGTGCGTCGCCGGAGCGGGGGGGGGAGGGGAGGAGGAGGAGGAGGAGGAGGAGGAGGAGGAGGAGGAGGAGGAGGAGGAGGAGGAGGAGGAGGAGGAGGAGGAGGAGGAGGAGGAGGAGGAGGAGGAGGAGGAGGAGGAGGAGGAGCAGGAGGAGCAGGAGGAACAGGAGGAGCAGGAGGAACAGGAGGAGCCTCGAGGGCGTCTGGGGCGCCTTGGACGGCGTGAGCACGACCAACAAGAGGCCAGAGATCCTCCATGCGCACCCGATCTCATCGTCGCCCCGGCTTCGTCTTAGCTGCCCTGCGTTCGACGGGGCCCCCGGCCGTTCCCGGGCAGCTCCCCCGCCGCCGGCCCCGTGCTGCAGCATCCGAGAGCGACACGGAGCCCGAAGAGGCGGCCCCGGGCTGCCGAGGCCGGCGACGGGCCTCGCCAGTCGTGGCCTTCTGCCCCAGGCGATTTGGAGGTCTTGGGCGCTCCTCCTCCTCCTCCTCCCTCCTTCCTCCTCCTCCTCCCCCTCCTCCTCCTCCTCCTCCTCCTCCTCCTCCTCCTCCTCCTCCCCCCCTCCTCCTCCTCCCCTCCTCCTCCTCCTCCTCCGCCTCCTCCTCCTCCTCCTCCTCCTCCTCCTCCTCCTCTTCCTCCATCGCCCGGGGCCTCCCTCGCCTCGAGCACAGAGCCGCGGAGAGGAGGAGGAGGAGGAGGAGGAGGAGGAGGAGGAGGAGGAGGAGGAGGAGGCCCGCACAGCGCATCGGCTCGCTCGGACGCGGCCGCGGCGGGCCGGCTCTGAGAGCCGGCCGCGGGGCCCCGCACGGGGAGGCGGCCGCGGCCGAGGCGAACGGCGGTGGAGGGCCCCCGTCGGAGGGGTCGGCGGACTTTCGGAGGGCGTCTCACCCTTGCCGCCGACGTTTGTCGGCAGTGCTGCTCCGCTCTCCCTCCGTGCCCCCTGCCCTGCTGCTGGGGGGGAGGGGGCTCCCGAGGTCTGTCTCTGGGCCTCCCGCGAGGGGGGTCCGAGCGTATTGGGGGGTCGGAGGATCGCTCCGCGTCCTCGATGCATCGGCGGTGCGGCGCGACGTGGAGCTCGCTCTTCTCCACGCTGACGTCGCCGATGCATCGGCGGTGCGGCGCGATCCTCCGACCCCATTCGCAGTGGAAGCCCGTACCAAGAAACACCCTGCTTGCCTTCAGGGTGGGATGCTTGGGCTTCAGAGGTTTTGCTATGGGGTACGTGGCGCTCCCGCGCCAAAATTCCATGTACGCCCCAGGGGACCCTCGGCTCTGGCCCGAGGTCCCTCGTGTCAAAGCTACGGACGTACACCCCGGATGCCCCGTCAACGGGGAGGGGGCGGCCGAGAGGCGGGGAGCTGGGAAGCAGGAGCGGGAAGCAGGACGAGTAGGAGAGGGCAGCGGGACGCAGGGGAAGGGGAAGAGGGAGGGGGAGGGGAACAAGCTAGGTGCGCTCGCGTCATATCTGACATCCTACCCCTCCCTCCCATCCCTTACCATGGCGCAGATCCCCTCTCTACTCGCACAGTCGGATGTCGAGCAGGGCAATGATCCCGAAAGGGTACGCGATGCATTGTAGAGCACGGCATGGCATGGCGTAGAAGAGCACCGCAAAGCGTAGCATCAACCTAGCATTGCATTGCACGCCGTGGCATGGCACGGGAAATGACGCCAGCGCTGCAGCGGGAGCACGAGTCGAAACGAGCGGAAGCGCGGAAATGAGGCCAGCGCTGCAGCGGGAGCACGATTCGGAACGAGCGGAAGCGCGGAAATGATGCCAGCGCTGCAGCGGGAGCACGATTCGGAACGAGCGGGGCCCGAAAATGAGGCCGGCGCCTCAAAAACAATGCAAGCGAAAACCCATTTACCGGGAAACTTGTGTGCAAAAAAACAGGACGCGGGGGGGGGGGGGGAGCGAACATTCCCAGCATGTCATCAGGGGAAGAGGGAGAGTAGTATTCATATTGAGTAATTGTGGAGGAGAACAGGGGGGTATAGGGGGGGAAAGAGGAAGAGAGGGAGCAGGAGTAAATAAATCAGGAGGAGGAGGAGGAGGAGGAGGAGGAGGAGGAGAAGTGAGGCGGAAAACCAGGACAAACCCGAGATGCATCAATGATGTTGCAATGCAGCCTCCCGTGCGAAATCCCTCCCTCATCAGCCCCTACTTTTTTGATCCGCGGGTCGAGAGAGAGAGAGAGCCTCTTCCGGTCGAAGCTAAGCGGGCCGCGCACAGCTTGAATTGACAGAGGGAAGAAAACGGACGGAGGGGCCTCACGCCAAGGCCAAGAGAGGGCGAAACCCCGGGATCAGGCGGTGCCGAAGGCGAAGGGCATGCAAAGGTACGCCTTGAACAGGAACCCGGAGGGGAAGTGCCGCTCATCAGCCCCTACAAGCAAGCATCACTTTCCAGTGTGAGGAGGCGCTCTCTCCGAAGGTCGAGCCGCCCCACGAGCCCAGAAAAGGCAGGCAGGCGGACCGTGCGGAAGAGCACCGCCCGCCACCCGCCGAGCCGAGCCGTTGAGGAGTGCGGCAAGGCGGGGCAACAAGGCTTCCCTCGTCCTCGGAGCCTCTCCGCCTCCCCGCTATTGTCCATCTGCTCTATACAGTGCCGTTTAAAATACATGCTCCGCGTGCGGACCATGTATTAAAATGCACGGATGTAGTACTAAAAACAAGGATGAGTTCATGCATGGTTTTGTTCATAAATTAGCCATGCATTAAAATCCTATACGTTTAAATCCCATGTATTGAAAACTGCACCGTCTGCTTTATACTCATCCTGCGCCCGCCGGCCGACCGATCAGTGAGCCTCAAACAGACAGCCGCCGTTCTCTCGCAGCCCAGAGCGGCATGTCAACGGCTACAAGGTGGGGCTGCAAGGCTCGCGGAAATGCTCAGCGACAGCCCCGCTCTGGAAAAGAAACCGCCCTGCGTCCGTGCAAGCACGTGCTGCAGCTTCTGCTGTGCCTTCTTGCACATCGGGCGAGATCACCGTTTTGAAAAAGGAGACATCCTCCTTCCGTGGTGGTAGTGGTGTACGGTGTGGTAGTGTCCGTTGAGGACGAGTTGCACAAAGTTGCACGTCTGGTAGTAGTTCGGTGAGGACGTCTCAGCCGCGAGCGTATATTTGCAAACGAGCCCGCCGTCGCCAATGCAATTGCTTGGGTCTTGTCCCCAACCTTTTTGTGTTGAGTTGTCGTCTTGAAAGCATCGTGGTCTCCACGTCTCTCCTCCCCCTCCTCCTCCTCCTCCTCCTCCTCCTCCTCCTCCTCCTCCTCCTCCCGTATGCCTCTTCATGCCTCCTCTTGCGCTGATCCCTGTCGCCACTTTCGTGTACCCCTGGGAGGTCCAGCGGAGTGCGATGTCACGCGGATCACTTGGAGACCTCGCGGTTCCATGGGTGGCTGCCACTTGCGCAACGGTCGCCACTTTCGCTGGCTCTTGGGGGGGCCAGCGGAGGGGGGGGCCACGCGAAAACCCAGCCGAGACCTTGCGACTCCCTAGGGGTCTGCCACCTGCGCAACGGTCGCCACCTTCGTGGGCGCATGGGAAGCTTAGGTGAGTAGAGGTCCACGCGCACCCAGCCGAGACCTCGCGGCTCCTTGGGTGGCTGGGCATTGCGCAATCGTTGCCACCCTCGTGGTCCCCCTGGGAGGCTTGGCGGAGGTGGGGGCCGCGCGGGTCCTTCGGAGACCTCGTGGCTCCTTGGGTGGCTGGGAATGAGGAGGAGGAGGAGGAGGAGGAGGAGGAGGAGGAGAGGAGGAGGAGGAGGAGGAGGAGGAAAGGAGGAGGAGGAGGAGGAAGGAGGAGGAGGAGGAGGAGGAGGAGGAGCAGGAGATGCAGGAGGAGCAGGGGGAGGAGGAGGAGGAGGAGGAGGAGGAGGAGGAGGAGGAGGAGGAGGAGGAGCAGGAGGAGGAGGAGGAGGAGGAGGAGGAGGAGGAGCCACTGTCGTGGGCAGCTGGGAGGTCCAGCGGGGGTAGGGAGGCCACGCAGACCCAGCCGAGACGTCCGCGGCTAGTGGGAGTGTGGAGGGGGCCCACGCGCAGACCCGGCCGCGGCCTTGCGACTCCCTTGGGGGTGCCTGCCAATTTTTGCGCAGCGGTCGCCACTTCCGCTGGATCTCGCGAGGTTTGGCTGCCTGGAGAGCTCCGAGATCCACCATGCACCCAGGCGAAAGCCTCGCAGCTGACTGGAGAGATCCACCATGCACCCAGGCGAGACCCTGCGGCTCCCTGGCCGGTCGGGGGAAGTCGCAGTCGTCGCCGCGCTCGTGGGCTCTTGGGAGGTCCAGTTGAGTGGAGGTCCGCGCGCACCCAGTCGAGACCTTGCGGATCCGTTGGGGGGTGTCAAGTGTGAACTGTCGTTCGGTTTGTGGACTCTTGGGAGGTCCAGCGGAGCGGGGGGCCACGCATTCAGCGACGCTGCCTTGTCATTTTCCTAGGCGGTGGTGGTGCATCACAAAGCGCAGGGCGCCGGAGCATCACTTAGCGCATGGCGCTGTCTTCGGTGCTCCCCCACACCTCCTCAGGCGACTGTCGCCCGCGAACCGATCAGATGTAGCGCATAGCGCTGTCACCTTCGCCAGTATGTTTTTCCTTTCTTGCTCCATCATCCTTGTCCTCCTCCCGTTTTGTCCCCCGTTCTATGTTGCGCAGGTGTGCAGCGTGCGCGGCCCCGCACTGTTGCACGACGCCTTTCCGAGCGCCGCATGTTTCGCACTGGGTTCTTTTGTATAAGACGCGCAAATCAATAGTCGCTTCCCGTGCAGGAGGGGGTTCGGCACGTCCAGGGTAGCTACCAGGGATGTGCTTGGCGTCTGATGTCGACCAGCCCTCCATCCGTAGCGTTTACGATGACGTGCGCTCCGCCACGGCGAATGCGACGTTAAACGGCCGGCTCCCCGCCCGTGTAATTGCGAACCAGTCCAAAGACGGATACACGCGTCGCTACGGCGAGAGCCACCGTTAAAGACGATTGGCCGTGCACCCATGCAATTGCTGGACATGTTCTAAGCTCTGGGTGGGCACATTGCGAGGAATGTTCCAGCGAATCGCTGTGCCCGCCACGTCGGCCACGTCTGGTGGTGCGACAGGGAGGAGGTATGTATCGAAGACGCCTGCGATGAATCACCGCCGCCCCCTGCCTTTTAGGAGACTCCTGTGTGGCCAGACGTTTTGGCAAGGTTTGGCCACACACTGGACCGTGCGTTCCCCCAGCCGTTGTGGATGCCCTTTGGGGAGCACGTGGGGGAGGAGGAGGAGGAGGAGAAGGAGGAGGAGGAGGAGGAGGAGGAGGACGAGGAAGAGGAGGAGGAGGAGGAGGAGGAGGAGGAGGAGAGGGGAGGAGGAGGAGGAAAAGGATGAGGAGACCCCTTGGGAGCTTCTTGGGTCATAATGGAGGCCGCCTGGGTTTTGTGGGCCTCTTGGAGGCCTCTTGGGGGCCTCCTTGAGCCTCTTGGGGGCCTTGGGGGGCTTCTTGGGGAGCCTCTTTGCTAGTCTTCGGGCGTTCCTGGACCGTCTGACGCCGTCGGGAGGCGTGGCGGGAGCGTATCAGGGCAGTCTTGGGGCTCTCTTGAGGCGCTTCAGGGCCGTCTTGATGGCCATATTGGGCGTCTTGGAGGCCTCTTGGGCCGTCTTGGAGCCCTTTTTGAGGCCGTCTTGGGAGCCTCTTGGGCCGTCCTGAGGCCACCTTGGGGGCCTCTTGGGCGATCGTGGGGCAATTTTTGGGGCCTCGCGGGTCGTCTTGGGCAGTCGGAAAGCCGTTTTGAAGCAAATGCCAAATATTGGACAACATCAAGGGAACATCCATGATTTGACCTCTTCAGGCATGCCTGGAGGACTTGTTGGATGTCTCTTGGGCCGTCTTAGGGGTCTCTTGGGCGCCTCTCGGGCCATCTGGGGCCATCTTGAGGCCGTCTTGGGTGCATCTTGGGCCGTCTTGGGTGCATCTTGGGCCGTC